CGAAGATCGATTGGAATGCGCTGTCCTTTCCGCTGACGGAAAAGTCCTGGTCACCGGTTGCCGGGACGGAAATGCATATGTATGGGACATTCACGCCATCCTCAAAGAAGCTGGCCTCGAGGACCTACTATCCATTTCTCATGTGAGTCCAGATACATCGTGCTTTTCGCATCACACTAATCTCTCACTTGCAGGTCCCAACTCAAAAGTCGTTAACGGACGTACGTGACGTATTTCTTTACTCTGTCCAACCATTTCAAGATTGAATCCTAGACTGATACCACCAGACGTCCACCTATTCAGGCCCGTCGAATACCACCAGGTTTTTTTGATGACACCCAAGTGAGTCCTCTACCTTTTTTGACCAGCTCTTTTTCTGATCTCTCTCAGTTCTCTACAGTACGTGGTACCCGTACTCTCTCTCCTGCGCACAATCCTCGCAGTCCTCGCCCATCCTTGTCTGCCATTCCACATGCTCTTCTCGAACAACTTTCGTCATTCTTCCACCCCTCTCACTCCAATGCCGATGAAGAAACCGAACTCCGGCAACGCCCAAGGCGCTCCATCTTCTCTCGCGGTCCTCGTATCGTCGAAGTTGCTACAGTACAGGACAAGAAGGTATTTCGTTCTCCTCGTTCATTTCCTATCGCCGTGGTTCAATGATTTCTGTTCAGGCATTGTATGTTGCTCCGCGGCCGCGGCCGCAGCAGCAAATGCAGTTGCATGGCCAGGGCTCGTCGTCGCAATCTCAGCCCACCACCACACCTGCTCAAGGTACTAGCAATGCCGCATCAAGTGCAGCAACCCCGCAGTCACCACCCATCCCATTGTGGGCTCGTTTCGTACTGTTTATCTGTTGCACATCTCCACCGCACGCCAATGGTCATTAATACAGGAGAAGCATATGCACAGTCATTCTATCCTTCACATCTCCCGTCAATCCCCTTTCCTCGCCGTGAGACTCGTGCAATACACCGAAGTTATGCTAATCGTCGCGAGAGCACCATTATACTCAGAAGATAAACTTAACTTCTAGGATCAGCTCAGGTTCCTCCCATCTATAGACTTTCGCAACACCACTCATCAGCTACTATGTAGTCTTTCAGTTGATGTTTGCACATTTCAACCTCGGACAACTGTCTGATATCCATGCACATATATATACTAGTATTTCGCAGAAGGCCACTCAGAGCAAGCCTCGATATCAACAAAATTAGTCAAGCAACAGGCATCGTGCCGCAGATTCGTGAGTGTAACTTGAAAAGTTCAGACCTGTCTGGCACTTGGTCGCTGCGGCACAGTGTCCGCAGAGTTTTCCTAGTGCGTGTGCTGGCTGAGTGATCTGCAGAGACCCGAAGATCAGCTATTATATTACCCGTTCTATCTGTCAATTTCGAGTCCTCAAGGACCATCAGTCGAACGGCACACCTGAGCGGTCTTAGCGGCGGGCAATGACATTCACAACAGTTGATTTTTGATTCCCTATCTACCTCATCGGGATAGATTCGTTGTCGTTTTGATGAAATCATGGAACGATTGATTGGGGAGGGCAAAAGTACAATAACAGAAGATCACAAAATATGTTCCGCATCAGTCCTGAGCGATTCTGAACTCCAAGAGCATCGTCCCTACAAGATCATACGTTTGGGTGAGCACCAGACCAGCACTGGCCCTGCAAATTATAACAAATCAAACATCGTCAATGTATCCAGGCATGGAAGGAACTTGCCCAATGTCCTTGAATTCCTTCAAGGTTCGCTCCTTTCCATTGAAAAGAAACCACATGGTCATGTCCAAGTGGTGTGTTGTGTGACTACCGAAGTTCAGTAATGTAGGTTCGGGCGCCTTATGATCCTGGATGTATGATGACACCTTAACCATCAAGCTGAACTCTAAACTTACCTCACTAGACTCGTTAGCCCCTACGTCAGGCTCTTCGAATGCGCGCGAGAGCACGCAGTCATCTATCACACGATATTAATTCTGGAGCAAACCACGCTTTAAAATGCAGCCGACTCACGGATCAACAGTCGGCTGTTTGGTCCCATTGCTTTACGAATATTATGGAGAATCACCCTTGACTCCTCGTCCGGCCAGTCATGAGTGATGCTCTTCAGCTTGGGCCATTGATGAGCAGTCCGCGTTGAATAAGAACAAACTTAGCACTTACGTAGTAAACATCCTTTCCGACGACGGGCGACTCCTTCAAGAAATTCAGTGGCACGAACTCTACACGCCCGTCGAGCAGCAACTCAGGAGAATTCGTCTCGCATGTCTGATCAAATATAAATTTAACTTGTCTGCTGTGGATGTCCGGACTCACATTTATTGACAGCTTTATAGTTTCTGGGAGTTCTTGACTGGTTATTCTGAGATGAGGGAACATTTTCGCCAGAGAAATAGACATTGCTCCGATTCCAGATCCAATATCCACCACAGAGGATACATTGTCCCAAGGGTAATCTTATGGCCCGCTTCAGTCATGCTGATGGTTGAAAAAATGGTGATCACTCACGATGCAGCACCGCAGACGCGGCCTGCACCTCAGAATAGCCCATCATGGCTTTGTGAAATATCTGTTCATAAGATTTTGTGAGCCGTCAGTCAGTCATGAGCTGATGGATCCGCACGCACATCGCGTGCCTCATCCTGTGAAATATGGTAAGGCATGAAAGGTCGGTATGATGACTGAAACTCACGTCCATCTCCCAGAAGCTGTTGTTTTTGCCTTCCTTTCCGAGAACAAATGCTCGTGGGGTTCTTTCAACCTTGTCCGACCTTGCAAACTCTTGGTCGACCATAGTCTCATAGAGAACCGCAGCATATTTTGGGAGTTCTCGCTCAAATTTTATCAAAAACCCGACGTTATTTGTTGCCTTGAGCACGAGGGAGAGTCGTGTGTTTGCGAATACGTCTCGCTTGACTATGGAGCACCAAAGGCCTCAGAGAGAGAATTATCAATGGACAGTATGATTCATATTACCTTCTTTGAAGCAACCCCTGAGGGCCAGAACGCGCAACACGCGTGCGACCTTGGTCTTATCGAGGTTGACAGCGTCAGCCAACACATCCACGCTAAGACCTTCCGGGTGTTTGTCCAAGACGTCTGCAATACGTGATTGCACAGCGACGTCTATGCATGCCCAATTGTAATTATTAACAAACTAAGAAGATGAGCAAAAGGCATACGGCCATCTATAATCAGCACGTACATTATATGCCGTGTGTTGGGGGGGAGCCAGTATTGTGTTCAATTGCTCGCATGCACCTTCGAGCAGCCTGATTGCCTTTCTGAGGGCAAGTGTATCTGTCGCGAGATCGAGGGGGTGGAAGGTGCCTGCATCGACACCAGGGACTCCATGACCAGTGTTCTTGTATTCTGCCATTGCTTTGCGTGCAGAGGAGCTGATGATATCCAAGAGGGCTTCAACCTTGAGTTCATTTGGCTCCGTCATTTTTGGGAGTGTGCGTGATTCCTCATCAGCCGTTCAGGTTTTATATATTCCTGGATCAAATATCATCTAACTGCTTTTCTGCGGCAAAGACATTCAACAGTGGGAAGATCAAAGCTAAACCTATGTAGTCTGACCTGACTTACTTTTGACTCGGTTGTTACAGCATCAGATTGACGTCATCCGGGGGTAGATAAGCCAAGGTTCAAACGTTTCAGGTTACCATCAGGTATGATGCTGGCATTCGCCGCGTTGTAGTAGGGGATCCCGGGGGTAGCAGCGGAGCAAAGCAGTGTGCCCTTCAGGTTTTGTTGTAGCGTAGTGCTCTTCACCAGTACTTCTTGCCTTGCTCGCGATACAGAGGTACACAGTCGCGGATACACCGCTGCAGCGTGCATACTATAATATTAATCAGCAAGAGGATATGCATCAGGTGTACGTCCGTGTCATCGGTCAAAAACACAACACTGACTACGGTGACTGACCTATACTTAGCTTATGGTGGTTTGATTTTTTGGAAATCCGACGCGATCGTCTCACGCTGCTGCGAATAGCAAAAATGTACCAAAGGTAAATATTTTTTGATAGTAACCTGCGCGGGGCGTTATAAATGTAGTGATGGGACCTTGGGCCGAATCCCTCGCGCGCCGGGCAAGATGCTTCGATATCGTCAAAGGTAAGCCGTACTTGTACTCTAGTATTGCCTTCGACGTATGCTGCGCGTGGACAACCTACTGCCGTTTCGCCAGCATCTGGTTTATGTCGACGGTCTCCGTGCATGATGATGACGGTCGACAGTCGTTGTACTAATACTCTGCAAGTCACGATAATGACTTGCAAAATAAGCTAGCATGTGCATGAGTATGAGCGCCTCTGTTTGATGTCGCTCCAAGCCTCCAACCATAAACAAAAGCGGCTAGGTGAATTTTTGAAATAAATTAATTCTGATCCATCGATATGAAGATAGCTGCAGCTGTAAACCTGACACCATTATAAAGACACTACCTGCATTCTCAAAGAAGCTGGCCTCGAAGCTCGAAGACCTACCTACTATGTATTCCATGTGGGTCCTTGAAGTATTACTGCATGCTCTTCAAACCAAGCTAATTTGAATCATCCACTCCCAGGTCCCAACTCAAAAGTCGTTAAAGAATGTAAATGGCGTATTTCTTTATCCTTGTAAGATCCGCTACCAGACGTCCAACTATTCAAGCCCATCGAATACCACCAGGTTTTTTTTCGATGGCACCCAGGTGAGTTGTCTACCTTTCTTGACCTGCTCTTTTTTCTGACCTCTCAGTCCTCTACAGCGCGTGGTACCCATACTCGTGCACATACGTCCCGAGCGAATCTCCGATTCCGTGAGGGAAAAGGGCTGAGCTTATTCCAGAGCGCCTCGTCTTTTGAGTTTTCGCAGAATCCGAGGTCAAGGAAGCCTTGCGTAAGAATCTGATGAAAGAGCAGCTGGATGGTTTGACCTTCAGTCGATGTAACGCGGAATTCACTTAATGCATGTGAAGGCTGAGTGGTCTGGACAAAGGCCAGAAAATAAGCTGTTATTACTGATCTACTTGTTAAAATTTGAGTTCTCGAAGAGCATCAGTAGAACAGTGTACCCGAGCAGTCATAGCGGTAGGCGATGATCGATGACGCCCCAAACACGCCGGTTGGTCTGGATGATTTTGATTCCCTAGTTGGGATGGAAAAGGTTGAATATATGTTTGATCGAATCCTAGAGGATGGTTAATATGAGCGCACACGGTATCTCAAAGCATGCACAAAAGTCATAGTATATATATATTCAAATGTGCCAGACCTTTTCTTCTCTAGGCCGTAAGAGACAAAATAAAAGGAATCAAGGTTGGAGAAATGATTCTATTACTGCCTACGGACGAGCGTACGACGTCTAATTCTGTTGGGACGAAAGGAGACATTCAATTATCAACAAAAAATTGAAGATATCCAAGTTAGGCTGACATTCGAAGTGCTGATGCGGTATAGGTAGGTGTAGAAGTTAGCATTAGTACATAAGCTGCGAAGATGTGGGGAGAACTTGTCGTGGTGTAGGCGGTGCTTAACCCAGCCTGAGTGGGTTTGATATGGTACGGTTGGTGCTTGACATGGTAGCGCAGAGGTTGCATCGGACTGACTTGACGAGGTGAGGTCGAGGCTTGGCACTGCCTGAAACCCAACATCAGATCACTATTAGAGGCGTTGCAAGACAGATATAAGATGCACATTACTAATTGATGCATTTAGAGCCTCAAAATCGATCTCGAGGTCGAGCGGAGCACTAACATCTTGGGTAGACTTAATGATAGTAGTTGCGATACGGTCAGATTCTGCTGACCAGTCGAAATTCCAAGAAGATCTTGCAGATTTAGAAATACGACATCTAGTAACCTCATGTTTAGCAGCATCGGGTTCGAAACAGGCTTCTAGAAACATGTGAGCCAAATTTCTATCCGCCACCAAAGTAATCCATGAGATGTGGGAAGATGTACCTGGCGGTGCCATAGTTGCAGATCTGAGCGCATCGTCTACATAGCAATTAAGCTGTGAAACGCGCATCGTCTACACAGCAATTAAGCTGTGAAACAGACACAGGATGACATATTGAACGTAACTTAGAATACGCTCGAACAAGCAGTGCCAACTTCCTCAGCTTCAATCCTAACACCCACTGTTGTCTGGTAATTTGAACACTCTAAACGGTGCTCCTCGTCAGTGATACTTTAGGGTCTTCTGCAACATATCCACCTGCTTACCAGTGACTTTGGATAATCACTAAGATCTCTGTGCATTGTCCAATACACAACTCTTATATACACAGTGCGGCCGAAGTTGGAGGACCGGATTCCTATAAGCAGGGTGTCTGGTGAGCGATGGCTTGTGCGTTTATATCAGCAAGAGCGAAAGTTAAAGAAGATAAATAGGTCAACTCATAAGTAATATATGTGGTTGTCAGAAACCTCGTTTTGATTCCAAGATCCTGGCGGGCTTATCTCACATAGATCGGCTATACTCAAGACGTCCCTCGCGCCGACCATGTCTTTCCCGACGAATAGTAAGCAAAAGACGCCAGCAGTCACGCCCCACCAGACGATGCGAGGCCATACCCAAAATGTACAAGGTGTTGTGCACCTGCCCGGGGGACGACGGATCACGACATGTTCGTGGGATGGCTCACTTCGACTATGGGACTTGGAGAGCGGCGAACAGATAGGCGAGGACTGGCGAGATGAGGAGGATGAGGAAGCAAAGGTGTACAGGATGGCATTGTCTCCAAACGGTAAGACTATTGTTAGCGGAAGTTCTGATGGGCAAATGAAGTTGTGGGATGTCGAGACGGGAAAGGTGGTCGCAAAATGGACAGGGCATACCAACAATGTGACATCAGTGTGTTGGAGTGCGGATGGTAAGCGAGTGCTGAGCGGATCCTGGGACGGGACAGCAAGAGTCTGGGATGTTAAGACCAGAAAAACAATCCTGACAATCAAGACCGGGCATCAATATGTGTACACGGCGATATACTCGCCCGATCACACACAAATTGGGACAGGAGGATACAAAGAAAATGCAGTCAAAATCTGGGATGCACAGACGGGGGAACTGCTCGCCACACACAAACAAGAACGGACAGTTCTCAGCAGTTTGACCTGGACGTCAGATGGAAAGAAACTTATCTCCGCGGGATACGACCTGATTAGGATATATGACACAACCACTGGGCAGCAGATCGCCACTCTGGAGGGTCACACAAGCTGGATCAACGCCATCACCTTGTTTCAGAACGTTAACTGCCTCCTTGTGAGTGCATCAAACGACAAAACAGTGCGTCTATGGAATCTCGACACAAACCTCCAAGTCGGTCCACCCATCCAGCACGAAAATTCCGTACACGACGCAGCCCTTTCTGCTGATGGAAAAGTGCTGGTCACCTGTAGCAACAAAAATGCATACATATGGGACATTCACGCCATCCTCAAAGACGCTGGCTTTCATGTGAGTCCAGATACCTCGCACTCTTCAACCCACACTAATCTCTCACTTGCAGGTCCCAACTCAAAAGTCGTTAAAGGACGTACGTGACGTATCTCTTTACCAGGTGTCCAACAATCTTAAGATCGAATCCTAGACTGATGCCACCAGACGTCCACCTATTGAGGCCCGTCGAATACCCCCAGGTTTTTTTGATGACACCCAAGTGAGTCCTCTACCTTTTTTGACCAGCTCTTTTTCTGACCTCTCTCAGTCTTCTACAGCACGTGGTACCCATACTCTCTCTCCTGTGCACAATCCTCGCAATTCTCGCTCATCCTTGTCTGCCATTCCACGTGCTCTTCTCGCACGACTTTCGTCATTCTTCCACCCCTCTCACCCTAATGCTGATGGAGAAACCGAACTCCGGGAACACCCAAGGCGCTCCATCTTCTCTCGCGGTCCTCGTATCGTCGAAGTTGCTACAGTACAGGACAGAAAGGTATTTCTTTCTCCTCGTCCATTTCCTATCGCCGTGGTTCAACGATTTCTGTTCAGGCATTGTATGTTGCTCCGCGACCGCGGCCACAGCAGCAAAGGCGGTTGCATGTCCAGGCCTCGTCGTCTCAATCTCAGCCTACCGCGACCTCTACCTCCAACACACCTGCTCAAGGTACTAGCACTGCCGCACCAAGTGCAACAATCACGCAGTCACCACCCATTCCATTGTGGGCTCGTTTCGTGCTGTTTCTCTGTTGCGCATCTCCCCCGCACGCCAATGGTCATTAATACAGGAGCAGCATATGTATAGTCATTTATCCTTCACATCTTCCGTCAATCTTGTTTCCTCGTCGTGAGACTCATGCAATCATGTTAACAGTCACGATAAAAACATCATACTCATTCCCGAGCTTACAGTCCCGGCGTGTGACAGGTATGCAGAGCAGCAGCACGTGAATATAACACGAAGGATGGAGCTATCACTTTTTGGGTGATCCTGTCGTTGCGAAACCATTTCCTCGGATGTTGAGCTTCGCAATGGTACGTTTGAAAGCATCAGCATCTTGTTCCAACATTTTCGTCAGCGGTAGACCCAATGAATGCAACAATCTAATTGAAATATACCTCGACATATATGTGATCTTGATTCTTGTCAAGTCCATAAGCGCTCGCACCACTCTCTAAGAACAACTAAGACCAAATGTGCATGGAACCCTTTGATAGTCTCGTTGAAACGCATATTCTCACAATATTTCTAGTGTCGTGGCATCTATCATGCTGTGAACAGAGGCCACTCCTTTGACTTGTGATATGCGGTCTGACACGAATCTCTTGTATTCTCCAGGCCGCTGCACCAGTAAAAATGCGCTGAAGGACTGATCAGACACATCACAACGTTTGCTCGATGATTCCGAATGAACCGGCCCCTGTACTCCAGGATTGCGAGGAATGAAAATGAGCCGTGAGGCTATGGTCCACCCAGTCCGTTATTGAAGCAGTAACGTTTGCAAAGCTTAGAGTCCCGACGGGTGACAGTTACCCCTGTGTAGCAGGGGACGGATGATGTATTGGAGGCGAAGTGCAGAATGAAGGGTGTCGTTGTACTGCATATGTAGTGAACTACCACTTGGTGAACGCAAATTGGATACCGGTTGTGCCAGGAAAAGGACGAAGACCTTATCATCATAACGTAGTTCCCTCTGTCTCGTTCTGTCTCGAACTTCAGAACAATGAGTTAAACATTAGAGGGAACCAGGTATGCTCCTAGCTGTGACTTTCATCATGTGAAAATCGCACAGAGCCATGATATTGACGTCTATGTCCATCAAGATAATTTCAAACCGTTGTTAGAATGAGGTTTCCAAGGAGTTCTATAGGTATGAGATACTCTATATACGAACAGACGTGGAGTCTTTCTTGGCTAACGAATGCAAATCTTGTTCTGTTCCAAATTTTTTGTCAGTGGTAGACATCAAATGAATACAATAACGACTGACGCATGCCCCACACATGTGATCTCAGATCGAGGAATTCTTGTGCAAAGTCTGTAAGCTCATCCGCTACTGTCTAAGCGCAACAACGTACCAATGTGCAATCCATCATACACTTTCTTAAGCTCTGCACGAACCCTTGATAGGTCGTCTTTACTTGCGGAACTCTGAGCAAGCGCCTTCAAGTCCTTTTCCACCGCTTCGATACGACGAACATGTGCAGTCACCTGCAGAAATCACAGATAACATAAACCGAATGCTTCACATAAGCACGAAATCTCAAACCTTCTCCGTGCTCGCCTGTAGCTCCTCCACGCTGGCCTGCAGCGCCGCAGAAGCGAGTTTATACTCGTCTAAAAGATGGTACGCAGCAAACGCAGAAGCTAGTGAGAATCCAAACAGAAACCCGATTATTCTGCGCCAGCAACAAGAAGCAAGAGTGAGATCATATGGCAAGGCGCGTGCAATATTCAATATTGCTTACCCTCCCCGAAAGCCTCCGACCGGTCTCTTCTGCGGCTGCACAGATCCTAGGTTGGGTGAAGTGGATGCCTCTTCCCGTAGCACTCTAGTCGTCGATAGAAACCGTGCACCTGAGCGCTGAGCAAATTTTGGGGTAAGAGCCAGACAACGCGAGGCCATGGTGGTGAGAGGAAGGATGTTGTTCGGCGTTAGCCGGTCAAGGTCGCGTTTGTGGCAACTCTACTGTGTTTCTTTCAGTTCAAAGATTTTGTATTCACCACATTCCGATCCTCGGTTTCTACCAGTGCTGGATGAGTGCATAAACCAGATTTGGGACCCGTTCTTGAGGAAACAGTGCATCATTTAACATCAAGCACGTATGGTTTCAAAACGTAAGGGGGACGACACGGAAGAAATGACGTCTCGGGAACGGAAGAAACTTAAAGTTGCAGGCGCTCGAACAATTGCTGTTCAGCCACCTGTGTCAGCCAGTGGGAGTGGGACTGTCCAATCTTCAGGAAACGCGTTCGCTGGACCGTCAAGTACCACCGTTCGATTTGACTGTGAGCATCTTTCGCGTATCGTTTCTTTACTTGACATTTACCTGTAATAGCTATGCAGGGGTTACCCGCGTCAATCGATGTGGAAATGTTCACAGAGGTACGTGTTTTGACCGATTCCGGTTCTATATCGTTTGATTGCGAAACACTAGGCTCGAGCGTATGAGATCGATGCCATGCAGAAAGCGATCAAGACAGCAGGGTTAGAGGCATGTGTCTCAATATACATACATACTTATTTTCCGTGCTTAGGGAAAGTGTGACTCATCGTGTATGGCAAACTCTTCCCCGCCATTTACGACGAAGGGCAGCTAGCCATGATGTTCGTCGTGTTCCCTTGCGTCTGCGAGACAAAGCACGCGCCGAGGTAAGGCTCAAACTACTCCCTCGGAAATCTTCCTTATTTTGCTTGCCAGATGGTTCCTGTCACCCGGCGCATACTCAAGCGTGGACGCTCTAAGCAGGGGAAAACAAAGCAAGTGAGCCGTACTGAATCCCTCTTGAGGCGACAACGTCAGTAAACATATGACTCCGCGTGCTCCTTGTCTTACGATGTGTTTCGTAGGCGATAAGACCTGGCTCGAGACTCATATTTGGCACGCCAAACGGATGAAGATGGAAAACATGTGGGGGTATAGACTCGTTAGTCTCTAGTTGTATCTGCAGGCTCCTTCTGAATCCTTGTTTAGGCAGTAACACCAACCGAAAAGTCATTCCGTCCTTCACATCGAGCCTCTATGCATGGCTCAATTCTGCATGATTCGTCGTACCACTCACTGATAGAGCTCAAGGGGCCTGAAAACATCCTTCGAAATGTGCTGGATCTTTGCTGTGATCCTCAGTGCA